TAATGTACCCCAGGATACCACAGGCCTTCATGGCTACAAAGGCACACTGCTGACCCACGGCCAACCTGTTGTCCACCAGAACACCCAGGTCCTTCTCTGCAGAGCTTCTTTCAAGCAAGTCAGCCCCTAAGCTGTACTGATGCATGTGGTAATACCTCCCCAGTTGTAGGACTCTGCTCTTGCCCTTGTTGAATCTCATCAGATTCCTCTCTGCCCAATTCTCCAGGCTGGCTGGGTCCCACAGAATGGCAGCACAGCCTTCTGCTGTGTCAGCTACTCCTCCCAGCTTTGTATCATCAGACTTGCTGAGGTGTATTCTGTCCCTTCATACTGGTCATTGATAAAGATGTTGAACAAGACAGGTATAGAGGAGTGAAATTAGATATTTTGACAATCAATTAATGTGAGTCCTTTGATATATTTTTATCTCTAGTATTAACTTTAGTATACTTACTGTAATTTCAAACACCATTTAAGGATGAGTGGAAAACGAACACATTGTCGTCTTACAGAGCATGTTCAAAAGTGGCCAGCGTTCTTCTCAAATAACATAGCTCTGCCTCTCTTCACCACACAAAGCCCTTTTATCTATTCCATGTGGATAAGTGGTACAACAACCTGTTGGGTGAAAATATCATGCTCATCACAGATTCAAAGCTATTGCAAGAAACATCGACACTGAGAATATGTATTTCTCTGCTGGCAGCAGACGTTGAGTATTCTTAGAGAAGCATTTTGACAAAATACTTCGATAGTAATACCTAAAAAATACTTCCCTGTATTCACGGAGGGGAGCATTTCAATGCACATTTTCTTACCTACAGTCTCTTTCCTAATACTGCTAGAGAAATTTCCCTGGAAACAAGATGTGACCCTATTTTGGTTATGGGTACACACTACACACTTTGGGGATGCCCACATTACATCACCAGTGGCCAGCTTAAGCCAGAATGCTTTCAGAAAATTGATGTTTTCCTTGGTTCTTGGCCGTGGGGAATACTAGGGACAATAAAGAAGCTTGCAAATAAACATGCAGCTGTAATTACCTGAGTAGCACCAAGAGACCATTATATTCAGAAGGAGGCAAGAAGCTGTGCTTCTGCCCCCCAGCTCGTGTCCATTGCAGCAGGTGGTGAGATGGGTTGGGGATATGCTGCCATGTGTTGAATTTACAGGGGTGAGATAACTCATTGCTACACACTGCTGATGGCAAGAGTCACGCTGGAGGAACTGAAGACTTATTTAGGGCAGAATGTGTTGAAAGCAGCACCAGCCCCTATGCTTTGTTGCACCAAGACTGTCCTCAGCTTTCTAGGCATACCTGGCACAGCGCATTTCCCAGGCTGAAATGACGCAGGCTCTAAGCCTCACGGCGAAACAACAACTTCTGCCCAGGGCAGACATAACAAATGTAACAGGGGCCATATGGGTGACCTGTGGAAAAGGCATGGTGAACAGATTTCACTGACGGTTGCTTATGAAACTGAGGGTAAGGAGAATGTGATGAAGGGGTGTGCTGATGGATTGCTGAGATGAAAGCTTAGAGGAGATGTCATACGTGGCCCCAGAAGTTAATAAAAATGGCTTAATCTTCGCAGATATTATGTCAGGCAGTGATAACCAAAAGGAGAGGATGGGAAAACATGCCAGTCCCATCAGGAATGAAGAACAGGAAAGGACATTGGGCTCTCTCCCACTGTGAATTCTGAGAGCTCCCACAGGATTGCACCTGTGATTTATCTTCATATGGGAGATGTCATTTGGGCAATCTACCAGGGAGAAGTGTGCAGTATTGACAAGCTGTGCCAATGCTGCAAAGCATAAGGTGTTGCTGATTTCCAGCTCGCTGGATAAGGAGGCTGAGATTTTGTGCTTCATTTCCATCGCAATTATAGCACTATGAACTGATAGTCTTTTAGGGGTTGCTTTTTCACAGGAGTTATGGTTTTCCAGTTTCTGTGTGTGTATCAGCCACATAACTGTTTGGAAACAACCTACAGAGATGACAAATCTGCAATGATAGCTGCTTGAACATTTCTCAGGTATGGGCTGTCCCTGTCAGTTCTGGATCTGCCTGCACCTCCACCAATGCCAAATCTTGGGTGGAAGGGGGCAAGAGCTTTCCTGGCAGCCCAGACTCTGGGATTCCAGCCATTCTCACTTTCCATTAAAAGATCAAGTTTCCAGCTGCAAAGAAAAGGTTGAAAATGTAAACCCTAACTATGTCAAAGCAGCAGAAGCAACTATAAAGCAAATGATTTTTATTTTTCCATTTAGTCTTGTTTTGAACTACTCCTCCTTTCTCTAGGAGGCTGATTCATTCTTTTGAATAGATTGTGTTGGCAATACTGCGTTTTTGCTCCCGCAGGGATAACTTCAGAGCTTTTCTTTCAAAACTACTTTGCCCAGTTTAGACATCTCTTAGAAAAACTAAATGAGAAGGAATTTGTAAGAAAAATTAATGATCTGCTAACATAAATTTTTCACAACCTCGTACACGGATGGAGTGGGTTTGTAGAGTTACAGAACCATAGTGACTAATAATAGTAATGAAGGGTCTGATTGTATCATGTGGTTAAAGATAGTCATAATACTCTAATTGTCTTTGCCGTTTTCCCACTCCTTGCTGTGACATCAGCCCGTCCCCAGACCATTACATCCTGCTCATGGTTCTTTCTTGTTGATAAATAATGAGTCACTATACGCATTGCTCTATGACTTGTGCAGCTGCATTGCCAAATTTTTCCTCTCTGCAGAATGAATCTTCTTTCCCAAGGGCTTAGTGTGCCTTGCAAATTGTGACGTTTATCTGTTGACATACAAGCCCATTAGCAGAGGATGAACTTGGCAAGGGGTGACTAGGCATGAGGTTCAACAAAGCCATGTGCAAGGTCGGACACTTGGGTTGTGGCAACCTCTGCTATCAGTACAAGCTGACGGATTCAGCGATGGAGAACAGATCTGCCACAAGGACCTGGGGGCATTGGTGGATGGCAGCTGGATATGAGCCAGCAGTGTGCCTTCACAGCCCAGAAGGCCAACCATACCCTGGGCTGCATCAGCAGAAGCATGGCAACATCCAGAGGAGTGCCACAAACATGATCTGAGGGATAGAACACCTCCCTACGAGGACAGAGAGAGCTGGGGCTGTGCAGCCTGGAGAAGAGAAGGCTCTGGGATGACTTGAGAGTGGCCTTTCAGTATCTAAAGGAGGGGCTGCAAGAAAGAAAGGGAGAGACTTTTTAGTAGGGTCTGCTGTGACAAGACAAGGGGAAATGGTTTCACACTAAAAGAGGGGAGATTTAGATTGGATACGAGGGAGAAGTGTTTAACACTAAGGGTGATGAAGCACTGTCACAGGTTGCCCAGAGAGGCAGTGGATGCCCCATCCCTGGATACAGCCAAGGTCAGGCTGGAGGGGCTCTGAGCACCTGATAGACCTGCAGATGCTCCTGTTCACTACAGGGAATGGGACCAGGTGGCCTTTAGGGGTCCCTTCCAACTTAAATGACTTTGAATCTCTGAAACAAGGCTCTGGCTCTGGCTTTGGCTGGCTGCTGTGCCCTGGGAGCAGGCTCACCTAAGGGAAATGGCATGCCTTCATTCATGGCGAAGCATCACAACTGTGTATGAACAGTGGAAGCCACTGCGTGCCTGTGTGGGGTCTACATGGACTGCCATTGTAGGGCACGTTGGATCCAGACCTGAGCCCTGCTGTAACTCAGATTGCAACTTGAGATGTTTACATTATAAGCAGGTGCACAAGGAAGTTCTGTGTTTCATCCACAAACAGTAATTCTGCAGTCAGAACCTACTTTCCAGCCTGCTGACAGGCTAAAGAACTCGTCGTGAGCTCTGAAACAGCTGCCAAAAAGTAGTAAAAGGTGTGAGGTTGAGATGTGGTGTTTTCCGTAAGGACAGCAAAGCGCACCCTTTGCTTTGACACCATTTCAGAGCG